ATATGAATTATGATTTACTTTTCAAAGATGAATAAAAACCAAACCAATATTTGTGCGATTTCTCTTTTTTTTTTAGTTATTTTATAAACCCAGTGTTATCTTATTGGTGCGACTTCTTGCCGCAACTCTGTAATTTTTGTAATACTTTTTGGTGTGTTTTCCTTCATTTTTTTTTTGCCCCTTGGATAAGCTATTGTGGTCCATTTGTTGCCTTTTGTTCTCTGTACTTTGATTTCTTATTTAATACAAGTCACATTTAAGAAAAAAATGTAATACAACTTTTTCCTACTTCCCTATCTAACATCTACAACTTGGTTTTATTTGATGTTTCTATAGGGCTGTGAAATATTTGTTTAAGTACATCAACAAACCCGAGGATCGTGCAATGGTCACTGTAGCTGCACAACAAACAGCTTCGGCTATGGATGGTCGGAATCGTGGAACTACAGTTGTGCAAATCGATGAGATAAAGGCATTCATGGATGCCCGTTACATCAAATCGGGAGAAGCATGTTGGAGAATTTTTAGGTTTGATATATACACTCACTCTCCAACAGTACTGCGTATGTCCTGTCATTTGCCTGGTGAGAATACAGTGTATTCAAATGTTGATTCTAACGTGGAGGAAGCGGTTGAGTCTAGCAGTTCCCAAACCTCAATGTTGTTAGCATGGATGGATCTCAATCTTCAGTTAATGGATGCACCGAAACATACCTTTGCGGAGATGCCACAATATTATGTATGGAATAAAAAATACAAGAAGTGGCAGCAGCGCAAAAAAGGTACCTGCATTGCTAGATTATATTACTGCTACCCATCCGCAAAGGAGCAATACTATTTGCGAATGCTATTGCATGTTGTTAGGGGTTGTTGTTCTTATGATGATATTAGAACAGTGAATGGGGTGGTATATGAAACATTCCAAAAAGCATGTTATGCTCGGGGACTGTTATCAGGAGATTCTGAATGGAATGATTGTGTCCAAGAAGCTTCGCGCTGGGCTTCTGGTTATGAACTTAGAAAACTTTTTGTCACAATTCTTATTCATTGTCAGGTGGCTGATGTGACTTCTTTTTGGTTAAAGAATTGGGAATTACTAAGTGAAGGCATTTTGCATTCACGACGTAGAGAGCTGAATTTACCCCAGTTGAATTTGTCGGAGGATGAAATTAAGGAGTTGTGCCTTATTCATATTGACAAATTGATGGAGAGATTTTCGAAGTCATTAGCAGATTTCCCTGGGTTGCCTGTTCCCGATCAGTGTTTGCGTTCACATACGGTAAACAGGCTGATAGATATGGAGATGAATTATGGACCCGATGACTTAGACTGTTCTGAGGATCGACATAGTAGACCGTTGAATGGAGAACAACAAATCGCTTACGATATGGTATTACATTCTGTTTATACCAATGAGGGTAAATGCTTTTTTGTGGATGGATTTGGGGGTACTAGTAAGACATTTCTGTGGCGAGCAATTTGTGAGCAATTAAGATTTGAGAAGAGGATAGTATTATGTGTTGCTTCATCTGGTATTGCTGCACTGCTCATGGTCGGTGGAAGAACTGCACACTCAAGATTTCACATTCCCCTGGATTGTGATACAAAATCAACTTGCAATATTGAGCAAGGTTCTGAGGTAGCTGAATTGATTCTCAATGCTTCACTTATTATCTGGGATGAGGCACCGATGGCTCATAAACACAACATAGAGGCCCTAGATAGGACATTGAGGGATATTTTCCGAGTTAAGCATGTTGATTCTGAGTTGAAGCTTTTTGGAGGTATGACTATTGTGTTTGGAGGTGATTTCCGACAGACGTTACCTATCATCACGAAGGGTACACGGACTGAAATTGTTAATTCTTCCATAAAGAGATCTTATTTGTGGCGGTCTATGACAGTATTGAAGCTAACCGAGAACATGCGATTAAAATTGCCTCATTCTGAAGCATCGGCCAGGTTAGCAATCTCAAATTTTAGCAAATGGCTTTTGGAAATTGGTGATGGTACAAATAGTAATATTTTTGGAGAATCAATTATCCCGATACCTCTACACATTTGTGTTCCCCGTCGCAGTGATCCAATTCCTGATATTGTTACTGAAATATATGGTCAGTTACTCTCCACTGAAAATATGTCAACCTATTTGGTTGAGCGAGCTATCTTAGCCCCTCATAATGACACTGTTGCGGCCATTAACAATTATGTATTGGGTCTATTTCCTGGTGAAGAAGTTTCTTATTTTAGTTCGGATTCGCTAGAGATTGATGCCAAGAATCAGCATGTTGAAGAAGGGGACTACACAGTTGAATTCTTGAACTCTTTAAAGATTGGGAATTTTCCGGAACATGAGTTGAAATTGAAGTTGGGGTGCCTTGTTATTCTGCTTCAAAATCTGGATAAGAGTACTGGGCTTTGCAATGGAACTCGGATGATCGTTAAGAGATTAGGTAAGTGGTTTATTGAGGTCCAAATTTTGACCGGGACACATGTTAGTGATACAGTTTTCTTACCACGCCTAAGTCTATCGGTCCACTACAAGAGCTTAAATTTCACTCTGGTTCGAAGGCAATATCCAATTGCACTGTCATATGCAATGACAATTAACAAGAGTCAAGGTCAAACATTAAATCACGTTGGCATCTGCTTGCAAAGACAAGTATTTTCTCATGGATAGTTGTATGTTGCTATGTCTCGAGTTACGTCGGAAAGGGGACTCAAGATTCTTAGCTGTGACTCTCAAGGTAAACCGGTGAAGACTATGCAGAACATTGTGTTCACTGAGATTTTTGAGTAGTGGTTTATTGATGTATTATGTTTTATTCGATTTGAGGACTAAGACTGTCAAATTTATCGGGTCGTTACAATTTGAATCTTGAGTTCTCAATTTGTCCAAATTATTTTCCTGTTTTTAACAGCCAATTATATGAAATGTGATTTATGCACACTACTTTATATTTAATTGTACCTCAATTTACTCTACCGAAGGGTATGCGAGTGTGACCGTTATATTGCAATACGAAGAAGAACTTCCATAGTCGCAACTGAACTAAACTAAATTAACACCACAACCCAGCCCACAAAACAACCCAAGCATGGTTCAGTTAAATAAAATATAGTTAGAGAGGGAAGGCCCAGCCGGATTTGTTGAAACTAAATGGCCAACCTATTCCCATAAAAAAAAGGCCAACCTACACTACCTTGGGCGGATCCTTCTCCACTCCCCCACCTCCTCTACTGCCCAGTATCCGATTTTTTTGGATCTTCTATGAGGTGAAGGCTGCCGCATTCCAAGCCATTATTTATTTATTAAATACATTCATTATGATTTTCATTTCATGTTAATTAGTGGTGGTGTGGGCCGGGCCGGCCGGGTTGGCGCATCAAATAATAATTAGCAACTTTGAGAGGCAATTTTGGACAAGAATTGTTGACACAGTCGCAATTAGCAATGTTGTTAAAACGGAACCGGACATTGATCCGGATTAGTAAAGGGTTCAAGGTTTATCAAATAACCGGTGGTTAATCGATGTTAAAAACCGATCATAAACCGGTGTTGACTTACTTGGTAGACTTAACAATTATTTTTTTTTACAATTATTGTTTCACTTATTAGAGATAAAATAATAAAGTGAGAATTATTAAAACTGAAAAAGCATAATTTGGGCGGCTGCTAGGTCTTTTTTGGGAAAAGTGAACTGATTTTTCTTCTCTTTATATTTTATTCTGTACTTACCTTCTTTTGTTTTTGAATTTTTAATTGCAACAAAATAAAAGGAAGGCGCATGTTTGATTTTAAGAAGGTGGGTCGTTCCCCTAAAAAAAAAAATGTGGGTCGTGAGTTCCGTGACACACCTGCCTCTTGAACTCTAAATGGCCAACCTTCTCCACTCCCCCACGAGGCCACAAATCCTTCTCCACTCCCCACTATCCCACTTTCCACACACACACACGTACTCCACTGCATGCGGCCAAGTAAATCACGTGTGTAGAATCACTTTCTCTCTTTTATATAATGGAGATACCACTTTCTCTCATGTTACAATTTCCGTTTACTACTTCCCATACAAAACACTTCGGTTCCATTGACCGTGCGAATTGCATTCAATATGGCGGGCCTGCCTCAATTCAATCAGTAAGTACTGCTCATGCATCCAACAAATACTACATCATGTAATTTGCATGTTATTTGTCGTAATACTCAACTAAATTAGATTTGTGATTAGTAAAATTTCATGTAAGTATTTTTATTGTGATTAGCTAATCTTCAAATGTATTTCTAACTTATTATGAATGTTCATTCATATTACATGTTCGTCTTCAACGAATTGCAAAATTGCAACAATCTTATGATAATATAAAACAAGACTCATTTCTCGACACTATCATTATAGATATTGTAACTCCATTTTCTTAAACAAATGCGGCCAACGGGCCGGGCTATAGGCTAGTATATAATAAGACAGGGAGCTAGATCGAAAAGAAAATTAAAGTTCTTGTATATTCGATCTTATACGCCGAGGATTACATTACTTTGTACCCGCTACGAACATGAAGTCTCAAGCCCAATCACTATCCCCATTAAGCCAAGGAAGGCCCATCAGTACCGGGATGAGTTAGGGTGGTTACTTAATTTTTAGTAATCACGGTGGCTACCTTAATCTACACCATTCATTATTTCTTTTTCACCCTAATTTTAAATTAACGATGAAGATTATATTAGGGTAATTTTGGAATTAAAAAATATATCACATATGATTACTCTATAAATTATATTCAAACCCTACCCTACTGCAACCCGCCGCCAACCACCAAGCTCCCTCCCCCGTTACCTCCTGACGTCCCTCCTCCCTCCCGAGAACCCCCTCCACCGCCGACCGGCCTCCCCTCCACCGCCCTCCTCCCTTCCCCTCCTCTCTTGCATAATCTTTCATCCCTAGCATCCCCTCCTCTCTCTCTCTCCCTCTCTCTCTCTCCCATAAGCTGCAGCACCATCAATGGACGCTCGCGTCCTAGATCGGGACCTCCCAGACGACGACGATTCCCCCGGTACTTTTGAATCTTCCTCCGACGTTGCTGACGACGGAGCTGGACAAGGCAATTCAATATGGGACGCTCGCCAATTCAATGGAAAATTCCCCCCCGCCAATTCAATGGACGATTCCCCCACCAATTCGCTCGACGATTCCGCTGCCAATTCAATGGATGCTCGCGCTCCAGATCGGGACCACCCCGACGACGACGATTCCCCCGCCACTTCGGAATCTTCCTCTGACGTTGTTGATGGCAGCGCTGGACGAGGCAATTCAATATGCTGCATCCCAGAATCTTCTTTGGTAGTGTGTCTGTGTGTGCATTACGCTTTGGTAGTTACTTGCATTTGTGTTAGTTAGATGGAGCATTATGTTTTGGTAGTTATTTGCATTTGGTTTGGTAGTGTTTGCATTATGCTTTGGTAGTTTCTCTGTATTTGTTTTGGTAGTGTTTGTATTGATTTATTTATGCAATGGTATTGTTTTGATTTCACAATAGTAGTGGTATTGGTTGTTTTGGTATTTGTTTGACTTTTGTAATGGTATAGATTGTTTATATTGGTAGTTTTCGTGTAATGGTCAATGGTATTGATGTTTTTCAAAATGATAGTGGTTGTCTAATGGATTGGTAGTGATTTCGTGTTTTTTCTTTTGCAATTAACAGATCTGGAAAGGAGATCTGGCTAGAGATTACGGAAGTGAGAGAAAGAGAAAGAATTGTAATTAATAGATTTTTGTAACTACCTAAAATGTAATTTATTAAAATTAATTAATCAATATAATTTATTTTTCCATCCCCAATTTATCCTTAGTAATCACGGTGATTACTACTTTTATAGTGATCACCGTAAGCACTCACCGTCAGTACCCTTTTTCCAAATTGGACCCAAAGGAAGGTATGATTGGTTTTTCTAACTAAAAACATTAGAGATTTTTTTATAATAGTTCTCTGATTTTTTTCTTCTTCTTATTAAATCTAAATCTTAGTTAAATCGAATTTTTCCCTAGGTTGAAATTTTACTCAAAACATTATAAATGTATAACTAAACATGGGTTCAAAAAATCAACTATTTCTCTAACTAGCTTCTACTGGGATGGCAATTTTCATATCTCGGACTAGTTCTCTCCTTATGTGTTCAAAAAACCAACACTTCCTCCAACTAGTTTCTGATAGAATGACAATTAATCCAAGGCAATTGTGGATATCTCATCCTCCCAACTTATTCAATGTGGAAGATTCCCGCATTGATCGACTATGGTATGTATATTAATCATAAAAAAAATTGTATGGATTTAGGACATGTAAATAAAGATAATAATGCAATCTAATAAAAATGAAAATCATTTTTTAACAATCCGCTTCAAACTCGACCCATTGTCATTCCTATTTTTCCTGCTTTGAAAGTTACATTTTTATTTTCTATACTATTAAATGTTCTATCAGTAATTCAGTATTGTTATTGTATAATGATACGCTAAAATTGACCGCGATAGAACCTTCGCCCTCCGGCCCTATAAATTAGAAGCCTTCCATTCCCCCACCTTCACACAATCACAACCATAATTCCAACACAACTCTTTCATACACCCAAAAACCAGCCAATACAATGGCCGCTTCGTCCTCCTCCGCCGCCGCTTTCCTCGCCGCCGTAGTAGCCATTTCACTATTGGCCTCCCCGTCGTCGGCCTCCTCCAGGAGATCTCTCTCCGGCGCAACGACCAACACGGAGTTCATCCGTACGTCGTGCAGCGCCACCACGTACCCTCAGCTCTGCTACAACTCCCTCTCCGCCCACGCCACCAAAATCCAGACCAGCGCCAGGCTATTGGCCTCCACCGCCCTCGACGTCGCCTTATCCTCCGCCAAGTCCACCTCCGCCACCATGATCAAGCTCCAACAGTCCCACGGCCTCAGCCCACGCCAGTCCGCGGCCATGCTCGACTGCGTCGAGGAGCTCGGCGACTCCGTCGACCAGATCCGCCAGTCCATCGACGAGATGGCCGGCGCCAGGGGCGCCGGCAGGTCCCCCGCCGACTTCCAAATGATGATCAGCGACGTCCAGACGTGGGTCAGCGCCGCCTTGACCGACGAGAGCACGTGCAACGACGGGTTCGCCGGGAAAGAGATGGCCGGAGAGACGAAGACGGTTGTGAGAGGGAAGATTGAGACCATCGCTCATCTCACCAGCAACGCCTTGGCTCTCATCAACGCCTACGCTACTCTCCATCACTAGACCGTCGCCGCCGGTGATTTAGCTGCTACGTACTGTGAGGGGGTAATATGGTACGATTGTCGGCTGTATAGATAAAGCTGGTTGGATCGTTGAGTAATTGAGCGGTATATAATTGCGTGGCGGTTGACTTGGCTTTTAGATAGCAGGGCAAGTTAAGTTTCTCTGCTGTAAACTGGTAAGTATAGTAGCTAAATTTTGAGTTTTCTGTACTCAGTCTCACCCATGTAACGCAAATGAAGTAGTAATGATCTATCAAAGACATCTACGTGCGTAATGCACATAAGTCTCGATATGCTTGCTTCGATCATGTAGAATTGTGTATTTATGAGGGAACAAGATTACTAGATTGTGACAATTGTCTCACATGCTATGTCTGCCACCTAGGGATGGCAATGGGTAGGGTCGGGTGCGGATTTATCCTATACCAACTCCTAACCCGCCGGGTAGAGCTTTCTAAAATATTCGACCAAATAACCACCGGGTATGAAAATTATATAACCATACCCTACCCACCGGGTAACCATGGGTATTCGGGTAACCATGGGTACGAATGCTAAACTATGTACTTAAACACATATATGCACACACATACTGTTTTCCATTAAAAATTCTCAATACTTATAACTGTTCTATCTTCAACAATCCACACAAATTAAAACAGCAAACATAATAATCGTCTACATCTTCATCATCAATAATGGTAGCTAAACTCAATTTCTCAAGCTAAACTAAATTTCTCAACGGGGCGGGTATAGCGTGGCTGGTATTATCGATTACCATACCCGTACCCTAGCCTTTATTTTGAAATCGGGTATTACCCGTACCCGCCCCTTAACCCGTCAAAGCGGGTAATTACCCTCGTTGACCGGTTACGGTCGGGTAGGGTACCCATGGTTACGGGTAATTACCCTCTACTAGACTACTATTGTTTCTCGCCAACCATCTCAGCCTGCTAATTATATTCTTATCAACTCAGCCTATATTAGGTAACCAGACAATGGGCCCAGGTAGTCACGTGTATACGGCCCGCCCAGCTAGGCTGTACTAACGAGCGAGCTACAGGCCCACTTAACCCCTCTCTCGCTAAAAGCCACCTTATGAAAGAAGGGGGCAACGGCAAAGTTCGCAGCTGCTTCTCAGTTCTTTATATCGTCCCTACCATTACAATGGCAACCCTCATAACGCTCAACAATGGTTACAGAGTACATTCAAGCAAGGAAAAGTGGAAAACATATCAACTAACTTCATTACGATACACTGTGAATCATCCAACCACCTCCACAAAGAGGATTTTCGTTCGAGCTGAGTTAAATGTGTGTTGCGTAAACTGAACTGTATTTGGGAGGGTTACAGGAATACTACCTATTAAGAAGATTTCTTGGGTGGAGACATATTACCGATTAGGGAAATCGTCGTGACAACTGCGAGTATCTGCACCAGCAATCCTGCGGGGGCGAAACAGAAAAGAATTGAGACTTCTGATGTTGATGGCGGCTAATATCAAGTCAAGCTGAGGACACGCTATGTAACTCACCAGTTAACAGAAGAGAAACCTCTATGACCTCGAATTTCTTCGCCTGCCACTCGCTTGGGTTCGACATGACCTGTTCGTCAAAGACGCCAGATTAGACCAGTTCCAACAGCAGGCATACAATGTGTTCCAATGTTAAGTTGTGGCTTCCTTCAATTAAATTGGGGCTTCCAATCGATACTATAACCATATTCTCCAATCAAATCATAATAGATGTGACCACAATTTACATTATCTTCTCTATGGTTTCTGTTGTAACGATATGATATCCCTTCTATTTCTATATAGCTCCAGGAGATTGTGGAGCCACTGCAGTCGTTCACACAGCTCATATATTTAAACAACCTAGAAGATCAACAAATTATGGAACATAACTTTGATCCTTTCACTCTGATTCAGTTATATTGTTTGTTCATGGTGATCATCCTATAATACTGCAGTATGAAGCAAACAAGGAACATTTCTCAAATTAGCCTCCCACCTGTTGAAACAGGTAAAGCCTAAGAATCAAACGAGGCCATATAATTTACATTTTCTTCCCCTTTAAACACGGCAGTAAGATACCAGGTTTCCTGTCCCTAAATGAACTGTCCAATGGTTGATCCCTTTACCAGTAACTCACTTGAACCAGGGTTCTACTCACTACTTCTAATCCCCCATTCCCCTTAGTTCAAATCACAATACAAGGAATTTCCATGAAAGTGAAGTAGCTTACCTCTAGTGCCGAACCACTGGTAAATTTATCAAAGAACGAGATTAGCAGTCCGATGGATGAAGCAGCCACGTACGCTCTCAACAGACCAGCTTTGCTGCGCCTAAGACCTTCGAAATATCCATCCAGAATGCATTTATATGTTAAGCAAATCAACTTCAACAGACCTCCAAAATCCAAACAGGAAGGAAGAGAAGAGCATACCTACTTCCCCAATCAGCAGTGAGAAGAATCCAATGGCAGTGGACGAAATAGCCAAAGAATCTGGAATCTTCTCTTTCGAAATCGACATAGCTAAAGACAATAGCCCTACCAACTGAATCACCACCTGCATTATCCATCCCAAGTCAAATAAGAGGTAGCAAAGTTGCGACAAATGATCTACACAGCAGCTGATGGAATCTGGAAGACACCTAACTTGACATTGCTTGACCAGAAAGCTTAAAACGATCTAATCAACGCCTGGCAAGTGGCAACTAGGTCAGTCATGCCATTAACCCTAATTCTACACCCCACGATGATATTCCAATTTCACTCTACAGCCTCCGAAAACCATGGAATTCCAGTAGCAAGTAGCGAAAATCGAGAGCGTAGCAGGAAAATTCCCAGGCGAGAGACTAATTCGACTATAGCGCGAAAGTGAAAATGGATGAACTAGCGCACCTGAGTTAAGATCAGCGCATGGAGGCGAGACTTCCCCTTTGCCACCTTCGTATAGCCTGGAAATTCAGTAAAAAAATCGGTCAGAACTCATGGCATAAACCGTCGGCAAGCTACTGAAGATCCCGCAAACATTTGGCACAAAGAAGCAGCTATCGAAGGAATGGAAAAGGAGCGGAGATTCCATAAAATGGACCGTCAAAGAGAAAAAAAAGGAATTACGAGAATCGACGACCATGCGGTAGGAGAAATCGGAGCCGTCAGTTCCCGACGGCCGCCCATATTTCCTCTGTTGCATCTTTTCTTCTTCGTTGTCGTCGTCGTTCTCTCACCTCGCTCCCAGATGCCGCCGGTCTCGTGATTCCCGGAGGGGTAATTTGGGAATATGAGATGAAACAGACGGGATTGATATGGGAAGAAGAAACCACACCGGGCTAATTGGGTGACAGCAAGGTTGTCAATCGGTTTAGTTCGTTGGCTCGGGGTCCGGTTGAGTGACTTAGAGGATTAATGTTCCGAATATTTTAGTTTGGTTTATTCTTAATCAAAAGAATTAGAGTGACTAAAAAAATGTTAAAATTGTATTGATAAGGGAACTTAGTGGAATAAATAAAAAATGAGAGAAAAATAACTCACAAATCAAGATAAGGTAAATTGCAAGGATGGTCACTGAAAGTACTCAAAAATTCATGTTTGGTCACTGAGGGTATTTTATTCCGTTAATGGTCATTGAAAGTGGTTAAACGTTCATGGTTGGTCATTCTCTCTTAGTTTCCGTCAACCTCCGTTAACACCGTCAGTTTTTTTGCTGACGTGGCTAACAAAAGTGCCTAATCAGCCTAATTTAACATGCCACATCATAATATCCAACCTACCACTTCAGAAATCCTAACCCAAGCCCTACCCATAAACCAACCTTTCTCTTTTAACCAATCAAGCCCATGAACCCCTTTTCCCACCCAAAAGTCATCCCTGTCACTGCTGCAAGATAGAACTCGTGACCCCTTTTTCCCCATCTCCCCGTCCGTGTTCCCAGATTCTTCGACTAGGTAGAGACACAAGATAGAACCCACCAAAATTTGCATACAACGCCAACCAATGCTTAGTTGTTCCTCTCACATTGGGCATTAGGGATTGGTATCGGGGCTTGGGTACGAATTGGGGGCCGACGTAAGAACCCACCCAGCGAGATGATGAAGAAGCCGACTGTGGGTTTTATATCCCTAAGGGTGCTGTATTTCGACGAGGTTGGTGTGGTTCGTTGGTTTGGTGGCTGGGCTTTGTATTTAGGGTTTTGTTTTCTAGGTTTTCATAAGGGGTGGGGGGGTTTTTAGGATTCAATTTGATTGGGAGGGGATTTCTGTTGAAAGTGAAAGTTTGGATCGGACAGTGGATTTTTTTGTTGCAATCTTAGTCACTAGTTAATTTGCTTCTCACTTTGGAGGGTATCAAATGGCGTATAAGAATGCGCAGTGTACGGTTTTTGCTTTCAGCGATGGACAAGTAAATTGAGGAGACTAGAAAAGCGGCGGCGGCAGTACGGATGACGGCATCAGCAGGACGGTAGAGATTCCTCCTCTACATCCTCTCGTCTTGACCTTTAAACCCTCAACCTCGTTGACTTGGCTGAGAATGGTGATGCAAGTGGCATCGGAGTGTGGGGTGAATCCCAGCACCAGCTCCGGTTGCAAGCAAGGAGAGTATTATAAGATCTCCACCAACACAACCCATCCTTCATCTTCATCGCAATCTCGTTTCCTTCATCTCCTGTGCCTCTTCTTTCGCCCTGAGGAAGAAAGCGGAGCTGTTGAATTTACTCAATTTTTAGGTCAGGCGAGTCAAAAAAGAAGGTTGGGTTATGGTTTGGGCTTCAGTTAGGATTTTTGAACGACCGGGTAGGGGGTGTTATTTTATGATAATGTGGCATGTTAAATTTGGCTAATTAGGCACTTCTGTTAGCCACAACAGCAAAATATTGACGGTGTTAACGGAGGCTGACAGAGACTAATGGAGAGTGATGAATGTGAAATGTTTAACCACTTTCAGTGACCACGAATGGAATAAAATACTTGTATTGACCAAATATGAACTTTTTAGCACTTTCAATGACTAACCTTGCAATTTACCAAAGATGAAGATCTTAAGATCATTTTTCAATAATCCAATGGGTTAGAATCTAGTGATTTACACTCCAATTCTCTAAACCGCCCTTTATTTTTAAGTTGTGTTAGTAGTCAATTGTGATTGTTTGTTTAGTATAGTAAGTAAGTAGTTGAACCGAAACCATTCTTGATATGGATAAATATTAAATTTTTAAGTCAGCGTCGTTACACCAAAGTTCTCAAGGGATACGATTTTGTTTATCATTAATTAACCCGATAAGTTGATTGATACAATGTACCAAATGTACTTTTATAGTATACAAAGGCTATCAATTATCTCTCCGATCGGCATAAGTAATACGATTTAATCAATTTCAACGAAGGAGTGCACAAAAATAAAGAACAATCGAGATATATTGATGGTACTAATCTTCCAACGCTTTTTAATGAATGATTAAAAAATCTTGATTTCTCTTTATGAAACATAACAAAGATTTCCCAATAAATTTTTTCAAATCGTGGAACTAATTAACATAAGTGGAACAATTGGAACTAACCTCCAAACATTCCAGCAACACAAACTGTTGGGGGTGTTACTAAATACTCCACGCGCGGACTAAATAAGGGGCGCTCAATCGGTAACGTGCTCCGGACGAACACCACTACGAAGTATTTAAAGGCATGAAACTCCCCATTGAAGAGGACTTATCCTCTCTCCTCACTTTCCACTTTCTACTATCTCTCTACACTTTATCTCTCTATCTATTCTCTCAACTCTCTCCACAAACAGAGACTAACTTGATCGTCGGAGCTTAATCCGGGGGGCAACCCCGGCACTTTTCACAGGTTTCTTCCCTCCCGACGAGATCAGACGAACGGATCATGAGTCAACCCCACACCAACAATCATTATTGTTCGTACCTCGAGCTAGTAGGTTCAAACAATTGGCGACAACCGTGGGGCTGATTCACGTATTCTATTCATCTGGTTTCTAAAGGAGAAGATCTGTGAAAAGGAGAGAATGGTGGAAGCATTAAAAAAAAAAAAAAAAGCAAAGCAAGCAACGCGACGGGAGGAAGAAATTGATCCCGTCTGCGATTCTCAGCACCTCCTGCTCTTTGATCTTTGTCCTCTCATCTCCAACTCTTCTTCTTCTTCTCTTCCTTTACTTCGTCTTCTCTCACTCTCCGGTCTCCCTCCAGTTCTCCGGTCAGCCATGGCTTCCCTCAACGATCTCGTTAACCTCAATCTCTCCGACACCACCGAGAAGATCATCGCCGAGTACATCTGGGTTGGTGGATCTGGTATGGACCTGAGGAGCAAAGCCAGGGCTCTGCCCAAGCCAGTGACCAAACCGTCTGAGCTACCAAAATGGAACTACGACGCCAGCTCCACCAACCAAGCTCCCGGCGATGACAGCAAAGTCATCCTCTATCCACAAGCGATCTTCAAGGATCCCTTCAGAAAGGGAAACAACATCCTGGTCATGTGCGATACCTATACCCCAGCCGGCGAGCCAATCCCAACAACACAAGAGGGCCGCTGCTGCCAAGATCTTCAGCCACCCAGATGTTGAAGCCGAGGTCCCATGGTAATCAATTTTCTCCATTTTACCCTCGACTACTACAACCTCGCCGGACCGCGCCGGACCCCTCCGCCGCACAACTCCCCACCGATCGCCAAGAGTGATTCTGCCGCGAGCCCTGCTCCACCAATACCCGTGCTCGCGGAGAAAAGAAAGGAGCCACTCGTCGCGGAGCACCGTTCGAAGCGCTGCCGCGCGTGCCGTCCGAAGCACCGCGCTCACCTCCGCCCAAAGAAGCTCCGCGCGGCGATAATTTGCGGGCGGGAGGGAGAATGAACGCGAAGAAGAAGAAGAAGAAGAAGAAGAGAAAAATAAAAAAAACAAAAAAAAAAGGGAACAAATCGCACTTCTAGTTCCGCGCGTTCTGTTCATCAATGGGCTCCCAACCCAAACCGCGTCTCATGGGCCACCTCCATCTCACGGCCCGCACAACTAGGCCCAAGCGGAGGTCCGAACTCGCGTGCACGGCCTGCGCCACTACATGGGCTCGCGCCGCCCCACGCGCGAGCATCTCACCAGCCCGGGCCAACTCGCGGCTCTCGCCCCGCTTGATGTCATCCGACCTGCGCCACTACATGGGCTCGCGCCGCCCCACCCGCCCGCATCTCACCAGCCCGGGCCAACTCGCGGCTCTCGCCCCGCTTGATGTCATCCGACCTGCGCCACTACATGGGCTCGCGCCGCCCCACGCGCCCGCATCTCACCAGCCCGGGCCAACTCGCGGCTCTCGCCCCACTTGATGTTATCCGGCCCATTTTCTCTCTCAGCTCGCGGCCCGCCATCGAAGTTGCCCCGATCCGTCCAGCGTCACGAGATCGCGCCCAACTACAACTCGCGGCCCGCTCCAGTGCCGCCAAGCCCAACATGTCTCAACTAGCGTATCTAGCCCATCCAAGCACGCCCACAAAGGCGGATTGCTGCCAAAAAAATTGTTACCACCGCCAGCACTCGAACCAGGGTCCACCAATTCACTAGAATCCGCTTCAACCGTTAGGCTACAAGACAACATGATGCTACTGCTGCGCGGTGCCTGTACACAACTATTTGCGTCGAGCTCATCACCTTAAAGCTAAGTACTCTATCCCTCTATCATGATTAAATATTGAAATGCTTTGCTTTCTTGAGCTTTTATGGTGCTAATGGGGGGCAAGACCTACCCAACAACGTGAGAGATGAGAAACTCACCAAGTTCTTGACGCCTTGAAGACTCCAAACTGAGGGTTAAAAACCCCGACGAGGAGCCACAAATAAGTCTCAACGAAGCACACAAATAAGACTTCAATAAGAGCATCGAAGACTCCAAACTGAGGGTTAAAAACCCCGACGAGGAGGGCTCCAAACTGAGGGTTAAAAACCCCGACGAGGAGCCACAAATAACTCTCAACGAAGCACACAAATAAGACTTCAATAAGAGCATCGAAGACTCCAAACTGAGGGTTAAAAACCCCGACGAGGAGGGCTCCAAACTGAGGGTTAAAAACCCCGACGAGGAGCCACAAATAAGTCTCAACGAAGCACACAAATAAGACTTCAATAAGAGCATCGAAGACTCCAAACTGAGGGTTAGAAACCTCGACGAGGAGAACTCCAAACTGAGGGTTAAAAAAAAAACGACGAGGAGAGCTCCATGAAGAATCTACAATGAGTGAGGGCTACACGCCTTAATGAAATACACCAACTGGGGGGCATGACGCAGAAAGCTGGCACCGCGTCAGCCAAACGCGCCACCAGCTGGGGGGCAACTGGGGTACATAGGGCTCCACCCAAAATTACCGACGAAGATTTTTTAGAAAAAAAAGTAATAAGCTAGCGATGAGTTAAGACTCACCACTAGCTTGGGGGGCAATTGTTGGGGTTGTTACTAAATACTCCACGCGCGGACTAAATAAGGGGCGCTCAATTGGTAACGTGCTCCGGACGAACACCACTACGAAGTATTTAAAGGCATGAAACTCCCCATTGAAGAGGACTTCTCCTCTCTCCTCACTTTCCACTTTCTACTATCTCTCTACACTTTATCTCTCTATCTATTCTCTCAACTCTCTCCACAAACAGAGACTAACTTGATCGTCGGAGCTTAATCCGAGAGGCAACCCCGGCACTTTTCACAGGTTTCTTCCCTCCCGACGAGATCAGACGAACGGATCATGAGTCAACCCCACACCAACAATCATTATTGTTCGTACCTCGAGCTAGTAGGTTCAAACACAAACCAAACCGACAAATTTACATTCAAAACACCCACATTTAGAGGTTTGGTGGCCGATTTCAGTAACTACACCTTCCTCTAGGCTCCAAGCCAACCCCTTTACCATGCCTAAACAATTTACCGTGGCTAAACAATCAAAGCGACCGACCACACGAGCTAAAAAATAATTCACACCTTAAACCCTCCCTTCACAAACGCCAAGACTCCAACGAACGGGGCATTGATGTAAGTAGTCGGTTCAGACTGAGAAACAACGAGCTGACTATCCTGAAACCCATCATTCATATCAGGTCCTCCGACCACCGCCCCGGTCAGCACATTCGGGTTCGATCTCAGGTTCTTGAAGTACCAGTACCCTTCCGAGCACCCGATCTTCTTTGGATGCTGCCTAATGTTGGGCAGGACGGACCCTCTGTGGTGAATCCTCCGCGGGTACCTCGGTCCGTACCCTACCATGTACGACATCCCCAGTGGGTTGCTCCCCAGGATGTAATCCGCCTGCGATTTCACGAATCGGTCCAGCCTGGACGGGTCGATGTTCACGTTCCCACATCGGACGGATCTGTTTCTCGCTCGCAGGACGCGGGTGTACGCTGCCAGGAGGAAGCAGAGTGCCGTCGGGTTCTGCATGTTGCTGGACGCTCCCTTTGAGTACAGGAGCCCGCCCGGAGTGTAGGTGTAGGTTTTGGAAGGCGATTCGGGCATGATTGCGCAGACGAGGTTGTCGGCGTTAGCTGCATAAGCATAGTCCAGCTGCATATGCCGCAAAAATTACACCGAATCGGTTGATCAGGAGAGCATAACTGACTAGAATTTGGAGTTCAGGGCAGCAGCAGCAGAGGAAGAAGAAAAGGTTACCGAGGCTAAAAGAACATAAACTCCAGCAAATTTAGAATCCCAATTGAACGCGGTCAAGCCAGTCCCCAAATTCGATTTAACGTAGTATGAGTATTTCCTATCCCCTGTTGCCATAAACAACCATGCCGCTGCCCACGCCAATTCATCCTGTGACAGGAAAATAAATTGGAAGCCCTGTTTTCAGACCCCCGGAATCTCATTTCCTGAATCCTGACACTGTCAGGATTCCTGATTTTCTGAAGGAAAGAATGGATCTACAATTCAGAATTCATACCATGTACCCATTTGGGCTGCAATAGAAGGGGCAAGCGCCAGCTCCGACGCTCTGAGCATACGATCCACGATGCTTGTCGCCGAATTCGAACACCTGAACCACGGAACCCAAAAAAAAAATCATCATCGATCTCATCCCAGTTGTCGCGAAAAAACGTACAAATCCGAATTCCCCAACTTGCCTGAATCGCCCTATTGAGCAGCAATTTGGTGTAGCTAGGTCTGATCCTCCTGAACGCCAGTGCACCCACTGTCAGCGCCGCCGCGATTTCCCCTGCCACCTCCGAGCCAGGGTGCGACGCATTGAGCACGTAGCTGTTCCTCGGGGTGTCCATATCCTCGGGCCTCTCCCAGCAATCGTGGTCCAGGACCGGGTCGGCGACCTGAGCGACGACCCGGCCGGGGACGCTGGTGGCCTTCAGGAAGTAGTCGGTGCCCCACCGGAGGGCGTCGAGGGAGTGTCTCAGGTCGGACCGGCCCATCTTGTTGCCGAACTCCAGCACGCTCCATCCAATCATCGTCGTCGTCCACGCCATTGGCAGATGGAACTTCACGTTGTCCCCTGCGTCGTAGTATCCTCCCACCAAATCCATCTGAGAAATCAGGAAAGAAATTTCAGTGTTTTTTTTTTATTTTCTCTACGAAATTTGCTAATTGTGGAGGTAATCAAATTAAAGAGTTACGCCGATGTCGGAGCCGTCTCTGAGAGCAGAGTCGCGCCGCCAAGTGAGCCTCTGGTTGGGCGGCAGCCTGCCGGAGCGCTGGCCTTCGAAGAACATAATGCATTTAGTCAATGCGTCGCCATAGTCATGTGAAGAAGAGGCGGGGCGGCGGGTGGCGGAGGCGGGTGGTATGCCGGCAGCGAGGGCGGAAACGAGGAGGAAAATTAGGAAACGAAAGGTGGACTTGTGACTGGTCATTTTTGTTTACCTTCCCTTCCAACTCTTTAGACTTTGCGGTTACTACTAATTGTTGATTATGGGAGATAGTTCAGAGTTTATGATCGAGGGATTGTATATATAGTGGGGAAGGATAATTTTTTTTTTTTTTTTAGAAAATGGGGAACGGGAATTATAAGGGATTAATTGGGGTTGAATAACCATGTTTAATGGTAGAATTTAAGACATATGGCAATTATGTAGTACGGGGGAATCCCATTTCATTTTCTCACCTCCTTTTGGAGATTTCTTTCTGTTAACCGTGCATTTAGGGGATTTCACATATCGCGGGGTTGTGATGTGCGTTTTTAGTACGTGCACCATGATGGTTGGATGTGTACGAAAGTCTTATTTATAAAAAAATACTACGAGGTCAAGGTTGTGAGATCAAATGACGGATGCTCACATTGTCTCCTGAGCTCATCTGACGTATTAGCTGGACACGCGAAACCCTACCTGATCAATGCATGGCAGGTCCTCTAGACTGTTGTATATGGGTTGATCACAATAATTATGCACTAGTTGAGAGGGTGTTATCATCGTTGTGGACTAATATCATTAGATTCTACATCCCAGAGTACCACGTCTGATTGACGATTCAAATTTGCAAGGTCACGGAATCCGACAGTGTCTGCATGTACTAAACACCCGACGACCTCATTTGACATATTGACCATATTGAAGAAACCCTAGTAGATGTGATGCAAGGGGATACCCTTGTTTGTTGTATGTTTTAGACACAATAGTAGTCATATACAATTTAAGTGACCAGTTAATGTATGATTAAAATCCTCGTAGGGATTAGGCATCTAACTAGGCTCAAACTTAATCGATCCTCTAAAACAAGAACACCTATCTAGCTAGCCAAGTTCCTTCGTGTAGTATACAATCTCTTGACCTAAAAATGGGAAGTTGCTTGCCACTTGCAAGGTCTGGGATCTTGGGCAATTTGGTTTATGGAGGTTCCCTAATGCAACAGTAACGTACCACATTTGAGAATAGTTGCCTTTAGGACGCCATGTTTTGATATAATCAATTGTGTTGTGTTTTATGATGATCAAGAGGGCAGGTTTTGGAGGGTAACAAAGAATAAAGAGAGAACCTTGATGTCCATTCTTCTCCATGCATTTACCTGTCAACTTTTAATGGCTTTCCACTTTAGGGCGTATTTTTTCGAAAGAGGCGATTTAGGGGCTTTTAGGATCAACCTAATTCCCCACCATAATAGGAAAATGGTGATCCGTGGACCGTGGGTGGTCTTTGCCTTTTTTGATATTTTCAATGGCTAACTGACCATCATAGTCTTATGGATGAGAATTTTGTTACGAAATTTATGTGAGTGGGTATTGGGAAAAAAGTTGTCATATCGTTGAATAGTATGTCTGTTGAATGCAGTCGAAGATAATTATTTACGAAATCGTTAGGTGCGCATTTAACGGCTATGTATTGCAACACCCACAATCTAATCATGTTAGGAATAGGATATTCTCGACTCGGTCTCATAAGAATGCTGATAGAATTGGATAAATGAACGGATGAAAGTGCTGGCGAGTTATTCATAATCTCTTATTAATGATATACTTTATCAATTATAGATGATTACTAGGCCATATGTGGTAAGTTATAATCTCTTTGATTCTCCATAATGATTGGATGCATATTACTTTCCTTGAGTTAAATGTATGCGTGCAAGTTGATTGTACGTTCGTGAAGTATTGAAATGTTGGCTCATAACATGTGGACCGACGGACCTGATTAGAGCGAGCTTACCTTTTGGGTTTAGAAATCTTAGTGGGTTGAGTCGGATGCATAAATACTTTGACTAGTTTTTTCTTTTCTCCGTTGGTATAACTAACCGATCAATTCTATTAGTGGTATACAAATAAATTTGTTACGAACATTAAGGGGGTTGGTATAAAAAAAATGTCATATCGTTGAATTGAATATTCAATGGTCCACATCCGTTGAATGCACTCAAAGATAATTATTTACGAAATCATCAAGTACGGATTTGACATCTATGGATTGCAATACCCACAGTTTAATCACGTGTGGACATTCTCAACTCGATCTCGTAAGAATGATGACAGAATTGTATAAATGAACAGAGTTGAAAGTGTCAGCGGGTTATTCATAATCTCTTATCGATGGTACATTTGATCAATTAAGGATCTTTACTGTTCATTTGTGCTAAAATGTAAGGCTAAATTGCAAGTTTGGTAACTGCAATTACTTAAAAAATTTACGTTTGCCACTAAAATTAATTTATTCAATCCGTAGTCACTTAGGTTAATAGTTCAAGTTTGTTCACTGACCGTTAGTGTCCGTTAACTTTTACTGATGTGGCGGTCAACTCTTATAGTTGACCGTTAAATGAGTGACGTGGCAATTAAAAAATTAATAAAATAAAATAATTTAATTAATTTTATTTTCCACCTAATTATTATAAAAATAAAAAAATCATAATTCCTCTTTAGTTATTATTTTCCGCTCACCGTTCCTCTCCCCTCCGGTCGACGACCTCTCTCGGTCGGCCAAGCCCCGCGCCATCACCGTCTTGTCCACCGACGTGTACTGCTACTCCACCGACGAGCAATACTCCCAGAAGCTCGCCATCAAGGTCTCGCCGCAGTCTCCGGCGCCTGAACTTCCTCCCACGGCGGCTCCGGCATCACCGATTCCAGGGGGAGTGGTGTCGTCTTCACCTGCGTACCCGTGTCTTTTTCAGCCGCGGGAGAAGAGTGCTGCTGCTTGGGCGCCGGCGCCGGAGCCAAGTGCCTCCGCTGGCAGCGTTTATGGAGGTGCTAGCGCGCCGATGAGGGTTCCAAAGATGTTGCCGGACAAAGGAGGTGGGATGCTGTTCATAAATAGTAATCCGGCGGCGTCATTTGGCCGGCTCGGCAATTTCCCGCTTGGTGGTGGAGTTGTAATTACACCAGAGGTAGACCCAGAGACGGTGGCTGTTATGACCACGACGACGGCGATGGTGAGGGCGGGAAGGCCGAAGAAACGCTGGCCGCCGGCTGGCATGGGTACGGATCGGAGACGGTGATTCTTGTAATCCAATTTTACATTTTAGGATGTATTGAGTGAGTCTCACTAAGCTAGCTGTAGGCGATTGGAATAGTGAGTGTTTGAAGTAAATCAATGTGCTTATAAACATCCTGTTTTCCATGTACAATCCTTTTCAATCCTTTCCAAACGTCGCCCCTGTTTTCCATGTACACAAAAACAGAGTAAAATAAACAGAGCAACCAAAGAAAAACATAGCACTTTTTTATCGGTCAATTTCTCGAAAGAAACAGTGAAAATTATTGGAAGAGGGCAGTGCCACTGACATACCAACGAAGAATTCAAAGACCACGACAACGATGAAAACGACCCAGATCACATTCACGCCGAACCCGTCGTAGATTGGTTTGAAGTAGTAAAAGAGCGACACCATTGTTAGAGCCAGCCCAACTTTGAGAGAGTGAATCACCCTCCTGGGATCTTCCTTCCCGAATTCTTTCACTCGCGCTGCAAGCTCGAAAGCTCCACTAGGGAAAGAATCAATTGCTCCACTTTTAATTGGTTCTCTCTCGAATGCTCAAAGGACAAAGACGGTGATAGCACGGGACTTGGCCGGCCGGGAGAGGTCGTCGACCGGAGGGGAGAGGAAGGACGACAAGCGGTGAAATAATTAAAGGAATTAGGATTTTTTTTATTTTTATAATAATTAGTCGCAAACGTGAATTATTTAAGTAATTCCAGTGACTAAACTTGCAATTTAGCCTAAAATATAATCTCTTTGATTCTTCATAATAATTTTATACATATTGCTTTTATTGAGTTAATTGTATGCGCCAACAAATTAATGATACGTTCACAAAGTATCGAAAATAGTGTTTTCTCATGTCACTAGGACAGACAGACTAGATTTGAGCTTACTTTTAATTTTGGGCTTATAAACCTTAGTGGGTTGAGTCGGATGCATAAATACTCGACTCATTTCTTGGTTTCTTCTTCAAGTCGGAATAACTTATCGATCAATTATATTAGAGTATACAAATAAATTTCAATATTTTCTTTACAAATATTCTCCACTAATCCTCTTTCACAAGGAAGAACGACAGCCAAAGAGAAAGAGAAAAGGGTGACTGTAAAATCCATTAAAAAGAAAAACAGAGCCGATTATGGACTAGAAGAGTAATTACGCGAAGACAAGTAAGCCAAGACCCCAACCAGAGGGGCATTGATGTAAGTGGTTGGCTCGGAGTGTACAAAATCCGCCCTGGAATCGTCGTAAGCGTCGTTGATATCAGGGCCTCCGACGACCGCGCCGGTGAGCTGATTAGGGTTCGGGTTCTGGCTCATGAAGTATTGAGTTCCACCTTGGCAGTCTATTCTGTCCGGATGGCTCGCCGTCGACGGCATCGACGATGCCCGGTGGTGAATCTTCTGTGGGAACTTCGTCCCATATCCCACCATGTACGACATCTTCAATGGGTTGCTTCCAAGTATGTAATCCACCTGCAAAAAAAACAATGGACATTCATTCCAAATTTCAAACCAAATCAAACCCAAGTACTGAATTAGGGTTTTGAATTGTGGATCACCTGGCCTCTGGCGAAGTTGACGAGCCGGGAGGAAGTGACAACCACATCGCCGCAACGGACCACTCGCTTGTAACGCTGGAGATGGCGAGCGTAGGAAACGAGCAGGAAAGACAACGCCGTGACGTGTTGCATGTTGCTTCCGCCGGATTTGAACAGAAGCCCGCCGGGAGAGTACTCGACGCTGACGGTGGGCGATTCCGGCAAGACCGTACATATAAACTTGTCGGCGTAAAGGTTGAACGTCGTCACGTCGGTAATGTTATATGGAACCAGCAGCTGCATAAAAAAAGAGTAAAACCCAACACAATTAGATCAACCTCAGCTCTCATTTTCCACCAGAAATTTGATTTCAGCAGAATTAGGGGTTTTTAACCTCTGTAACGAGGATGTTGATCCCAGCAGTTTTAGTGTCCCATCCGAACTCTCCAAAGGCTCCCTCTGAATAGGTCACTCCATCTATGCCCTGAAACATCATCTTGTTCAAATTTCCCGCGTTGCTCTTCAGGTAGCTCCAGTAACTGGCTCCCTTTGTCGCTTTGAAGAGCCACGCTGCCGCCCACACCAATTCGTCCTGCGACCAAAAAAAACAGAGCAAAAAACAGAGGAACCATTAAAAAGCCAAAACGGAGCAAAAAGACATCAATAGTTCAAAACTTTTTGAATCCCCATTAATGTCGAACCTCATAGCCGCTGAAATCACAGTAGAACGGACAAACCCACTGTCCAATGCTCTCATTATACGATCCCCTGTACGTGTCAGCAAATCTGAAAACCTAACAAACCGCCAAAAGCAAATAACCCTTTTGTCAACCATCCTATACATGATGATTGGTTGAGAAATTAAACTGACTTTCATTTGAATTTTTGTTTTTTTTTTTTTTTTTACCGTGGAAGCTCTGGTGAGAAGCTTTGCAGAGTAGAGCCGATCAACGCTGCGAAACGCCATGGAGGAAGCTGCCAGAGCGGCGGCGATCTCGCCGGAGACTTCTGATCCGGGGAAGTCCTTGCTGACGGCGTACGGAGTTCTGAGAGTGTCCATATCTTCGGGTCTCTCCCAGCAGTTATGATCGGAGTAAGGATCGCCAACTTGCGCGAAGACGAAACCAGGGACGCTCGTTGCCTTCATCAGATAATCCGTCCCCCAGCGAAGAGCTTCGAGGGCGTGCTGCTTTTCGGAACCCATCATCCCGCCAAATTCCACCACGCTCCATGCCAGCATTGTGGTCGTGAACGCCATCGGGAAGTTGAATTTTACGTTGTCCCCTGCATCGTAGTATCCTCCGGTCAGATCAACCTGCGCGAGAATTTTGAATTGAAATCGAATTCGGAGTTAGTGGCGAGTAGCGGTCAAGAAATTCGATTCCTTTTTTGGGGGTAGTCGACAAAACAGGGGAAAAACAGAGGAAAAACAGAGGAAGATGCGAGAAGAAGAATTTTGAGAAGAGAGACTGACGCCAATCTCGTAGCCATCTCGGAGACCCGAATCTTTCCTCCATGTCATTCTCTGGTTAGGAGGCAGTTTCCCTGACCTCTGGCCCTCGAAGAACAATATAGATTTACTCAATGCGTCCCCGTAGTTATGTGACAATGAAGCAACAGTTCGTGCCGCCATAGCCACAGCCATCCCCAATATAAGCATCGTTCTCAACGTTAACGAACCCATTTTATCGTTGATCGGAACTAACAAAACCCAGATTGTGGATTTCGGTTTTCAAACGAGGTTGTGTATATAAAGGGGAGTGACTAGAGGTCTAGAAGGGGACCTTTTTGAATTTGCAAGGAACTTCAAACTCGCATTATGACTTGGGATTTCAGGGGGAGAGAAGAGAAGTAAAGTGGAACAGAGATTATTGCTTGCACACCAAAAAAGAAAATTGGGAGAGGGGCTAACTGTTTGGGCTCCAGAGGCTGCGAGTATGGTGGAAGGGATGGAGATATGGTACTCTGTTTTGTTGTTAGTTTCAGCGAATTTGGTTTAGATTTTTGCTACGGATTATGTACTCCATCATCCGTTGGGCCTTTTATACTCAAAACAACGTATTGTTAATCATTCTGGCCTCCCTTCTTCTTCATATAAAAAGAAAAACAGTTAATTGACTTTTTTTGTTTTCCTTTCTCTTCTTTCAAGTTGCTTCCTTTTAAGTACTTCAGATTACCAACCACTTGCTTCCTTCTCATGTTCTCCTTCCCCGTTGTAAACTTTTTGATTGTGCATCTTTAACCGTTCAGTTTAATGATTGGAAAGAAATGTTTCCCAAACATCAAATGTATTCATAAAGTAAGCGGAATTAGACAATAACATGAATTCTACTTTGATATTCGGACTTGTGAATATTTCGTCTTAGTTGGTTAAGGCGATTAGAATGCATGTGTTTGTTCTCATTGAAGATGGTTACACGTATCAACACTAGGATTGTTTGCCATTTCAATTTGTGAGTTCATTAGTATTGATCGGGAATCTCAAGCGGTGGCAGGTTTGGATCGTGTACACACGTATGTATTACAAGGTTTGCTAAGTACATTTGTTATGTAGTTCAAGTCAACCTATTGTGAAGATCGTCAAACTCACTAGTAGAGCTACATGTAATCCGGGGGTGGACTGTAATCTCACTCAAAATTTGATTTTTGGTTATAAAATATGGATCATATGATAATTAGACATTAAAAAAAAAATCGGATGGTAGGCAATCAACCCTCTCTTATCCATAATTCGAGCTCGCTTATTGTAATTCTGACTCCCTCATTCTAACTTCTGACTTTGCCACCAAATTTAAACTCATCAAAATTGGTACAATCCTGAATTCATCCCTAATTCATTCAGGATTGATCGTTAAAGATTCGAAGTTAAAACATAAAATCTGCCTAAGTGTTTTTGAACGAGCCTAACTCGCTATAGGCTTGGTGAAAATTCTAGTTCTTGGGCTTGTTTTGAAGAAGAAGAGTTTCTCTTTCAAATGGCATACTTTGGAGCTCGAGGGGAAATCCAGAAGCTTGTGTTTCAGGTCAATCAAGATGCTAGTTCAACACTAGGAAAATTGCCAGATTTGGCTAAGTGTGGAGCCGTGTTCGAGAGGTACTTTGAGCTTCAACTCGAAGAGTTTGGCGAAGAGTCGAAGCAAGAGGATTGCATCACACAAAAGTGTGCATTCCCTACTACAACGTCGTGGAATTGGCTGAAGAAAAGGAAGCGTGGAAGTCTTCGACGAGCCCTCCCAAAGATCTTCCGAAGACCAGGTTGCTACCTTTGGAAGAACCCTGAATCCGAATCCTGATCGGATTAGGAATAGTCCACTGTTTTGATTTGTTTACGTTTGCTTGTTGTTTTAGATTCTTTCCTTGTTAGAATGTGCTTAGGATTCGTGTCACCTAAACTAGGTCTATTTAAGCTTGCACTATCGTTTTAAAAACCCAGTTTTGAGTTGCAATTGAAATAACCCTAGCCGGTTTACGAGCTTGAGTTTGAGAACATCCTAGAACGAGTTCTAAGTTGTTTGGATTGCTTGTATCGATCAGTCTCCACCCTGATCGTGGCCAAGCCTCGCCTGTAATCTTCGAGCCTCCTTCCCGCGTGAGGGTTGCATGAGATTTCCACCCAATTCACACCAAAGATCATATTGTTCGAGTTTTCTTCTTGGAGCAAGTTCTGAATCCGCTAACTCTGATCATCAGAAAGCTACTTTTGGCCTAATCAGAAATCAAGTTAGAAATGTTGGCATGTGTTTCAATCCGACATACTTGTCATTAATTGTGGATAAGTAGCTAGGTTTAAGTCTCATGCCATTTGTGGATAAGTAGTGAAAACGAAAGAGTAGAGGATTGAGCCTATCAACACTCAAACAACAGCACGATCGGTTTAAGGTGATGTGGAATCATTGTTGAGTGCCGTATTAGCTAGTTTTTGTCTTCGTAGCTCCCCAATTATATCTCCTATTGGTTTTTGATTATTGTAAAACCAAATTAACGTACTTGGCCGGAATCTTATATATGTTAATCGACGTCCAAGTAATTGACCAGAATTCCCTTTGCTGTCAGCCTGTCACTCATCGGCACGATAAGCATAAGCCACATGTGAGAATGAGATGTCCTAATATTGACTCTCCCCAATTATCACAACATCACCCGCCGCCTACCTTTTTTCTTCCTCCTTTTGCGCTATGGAACTAGCGAGCTAGCTATTAGCCTCTTTCTTATACACAACTTTTTCTGTTCTAACATTTTCTTATACACAATTGGTGTGTATTATGATTTGTTATAGAGTACTTGTAAGAAAATTGACGTAAGAAATTTTTTTATTTCAACTATGGCAGCAATGAATTGGAGCGGCTTAACTAATATAAACGTTTGAAACTTAAAAGAAATTACGATCAACGTAACGTTAACACGATAAAATATTGATATTCTTAATACTAAACTCGAATCCAATCTGAAAAAACCTAAGAGCGCCCTGAAAGAAAAAACTAATGAGAGGAGCTCTCTCCTCTCTCATCGAAGCTTGCTGGGCGGGTGCCCTCCGACCGCTCCTTGACCAATGTCGATTCGCCGGTCAAATCCCCTCCCTCATCTTTCACAGGATGATTGCAGTATCCCTGGTTAATCAGGGGTTGAAAGAATTTCGGTGGAATCTGTTTCCAAGGGCAAAGATCGCTGCTCGACTTGGGTCGGTCCCCCAGTCTTCGGACGAGGGCTTGAACCGTAACGACGGCAGTAAAAAGGTTCGCCGACAAAATCCAAGTCCCTGCAGTTTTCCTGATCATGGGTTCCTTAAACGCAAAATCGAGTCATCCACACTGATTGGAATTGATTTTGTTTGTCCCCAAAGGAAACGCTTGCGACGAGTGAAAATGAACAACCCAACGTGGCGATTTCAGTTGCCTTCGTCCTTGGAATTAGAGTGTGAGGAAGGGGTTGTCCCTGCTCCTCTGCCTCTCCAGGTTAATAACAAGAGAAAATCTGGTAACAACTGTGGCGTCTCGACCAACCCAGACCTTAGATCCCGATATGGGGCGAGGTCTCCAAACTAACTTGGTGAGAATGAAATGCCCGGACAACCTCCCTTGATCCGACCGGCGACGTTCTGCTCTCTGACGCCAATGTGGGTTTCAAGAAAATCTGATGTAAACAGAGGCATCTCGTACACGCCGGACCTTCCACCCCGATCTGGGGTAAGACCTCCCGACCAGAATGATGTAACTGCAAGTCTCAGGTACCCCCCGTTGCTCCGGCTGGCGGCGTTCTGCAGACCGACGCCGATGGGGTGTTTTTTGAAAATACTGGATCCCCCAAACAAACTGAAAATTGGGGGGAATATCCAATCCCGAATTTTGCGCTCGGGCCGAACTGATTTCCTGATTATACCCGCCCTTGAGCGGTTTGGGAAATCCGGTAGTCCCCATCCAAAATCTCCTAGTATCCTACTCTTAGTAGAACAGCAACTGTCGCGGGTCTCTTATGGCTCTGCCTCCCCTTTATTCCCAACGAAATTCAATCAGTTTCAACGAGGAAAGCGATTGGAGAGGCAAAGTAGGCCAGCCCAACCACGGCAACAGGAAAACTATTCTGGTACGTGGGAGACCTCCCTCACTGGGACATCTCTTCTGATCTGGCGGAGGCGAACCCCTATCTGCAGGGTCCCCTTTGTTGTTTCTTGCTTCCCCTGGTCAGTTTTTGAGCACTTTGAATCTGATATGAAAGGAAATCATGTTGGCAATGTGCTGGTTTTGCAGAAACGCAAAATGGCAAGTATCTCCAGTGATCAAGTCGTCCACTTCTCCCTTGATGAAGTCCAATCGGACAGAATCCGCAACTCCAGGACTCTCATTGGGCGCATGTTTACTAATAGCCGAGTCTCGGCTGCTGAGCTTCACGAGTCAATCAACAAGCCATGGCAAGGGCAAGGCCGAATCAGAGTGAGGCTGATTACTCACAAGCTCTTTGAGTTTGTACTCCCCAATGAAGCGGCCAAACAATGGGTTCTCAAGCAATCACCCTGGGTGATTTCGGATAAAATCCTACACCTCCGGCCTTGGATTCCCAACATCACACAACGCACCTTCGACGAGCTTGCTATTCCTCCGTTCCGGGTCCAGCTGTGGGATGTCCAGGAGGAGTGCTGTACTCAACGATTTGGAAGGACTGTGGCGAACGCTACGCTCGGTCGGGTCTTGGAGGCGGGGGTGTACTCGTGCACAGACTCGGGTCACCGGTTTATAAAAATCAAAGCCCTCATAGACTTCTCTAAACCCCTTCGCTCCCAAGTTATGGCTACTAATGAAGAGACAAGCGAGTTCTGGATTCGACTTAAGTACGGATACCTCCCCAGCTTCTGTTACAGGTGCGGCCGGGTTGGGCACTTATGCCAAGATTGCTCATTCGATCCCCCCACCCGACAAGAAAGGTTTGGCCATCACATGTCAACCAAGAAGTTGGGGAGGAGGGTTTTTGAAGAGGAGGATGGCGTGTCAGCCTTTCATGGCAATCCCAAATCGGTTTGGGTTAATACTGCCGCTCAAACTCGTCGGGGTACGCCATCTAGGCTGCCTCTACCTTCGGCGGACTTGAATAGGAGGGAGGCTGAGACTAGGCTGCGACCTGTGATTGAAGAGAAGCCGTCGTGGATGGGAACCTCGACCCAACCCTTCTTGACGACGGAAGCACGGAATCAAGTGGGGAGGAAACCGATTCATGTCCAGATCACAAAATCTCCAAAGATCCGCGTGGGAAGGCAAAGTCGTCGAGGCAAATTGAAGAAGGCGAGTGACCGAGTTCCAATGGAGGTGCTGACAGAGGATGCTGAGCCGGAAGTGACGCGGCGACGCCGTCTTATTTTGGAAGATGAATCTGAAGATGAGTTCCTGATCCAAAAGATACCGAGCCCCTCGCTAGCGTGCCAGTTGAGTGACGCAATTCGGATTGCAAAGAGTGCAGAAAAGGCTAACGCTGCTGGCGGCACCCATACCTCCGTGCGAAACCCTGTGTCAAAAATAAAAAAGGGGAGGAATGTGAAGGGAGAGGTTTCTCCGCTAAAATCGCCAAGAAAGGCGAAGGCGACTGACCTGCAGTCACGTACGAGACGGGGGGGGGGGGGGGGCACTGCCGTCAACGGCAGTTCAAAAAGTGCTGGGCAGAAGAGGGCCGAGATGGTGGCGGCGGATTCGCCAGCTCTGGTGAAGCCCTTGGGCCCCCAACCAATCGAGGCAGTTCATGAGGGGATGGACTCGGAGGAATCAGGTGTTGATGAGCAACTCTTTGTGATTCGCCGCCGGGAAACGCTTGGAAAGGGGAAATTCAAGCGTTTGGCTGAATCGTCCCGTGTGCGGCAGGTTGTGAAAGCATTTGAGGATGGGCTCACCATGAGTGATCCAACTAATGTGCAAGGGTTGCAGTGCCCACTCACTTTGGATGACACGGCGGCGGCTAAGGGAGTGCCAAATGAAAATGAGCCTATTGACAAGCCCTTTAACGAGTACGGGTCCAATTTGGGTGACCCTGAGGTGGAGGGTAATAAACGCCGAATTGATGATATTGATGGAGATATTGCTGACTCTCCATCACCAAAAAAGCTGTTTGTGGAAGATAAAGATGAACTGGAAACGGTGGAGGTAGCCAGCCGGGAGTGGCCCCATCCGGATAAATGAGACTTCTTGCCTGGAATGTGAGAGGAATTAGACCATCCCTCACATTTCAAACTGTTGTTGGTTTAATTCATTCCAATAAACCGGATCTCACGTTTTTTTTTTGGAAACACGATCGAGCCGGAGAGTAGATGCCCGTCGTATGCGGGGCTTAGGTTTTGATAGTCCTTGTTGTTTTTTTGTGGATGCAATTGATGCATCGGGAGGTTTACTTGTTGCTTGGTCCCCGATGGTTGATGCCTCGGTTTTTTTCCATTCAAATTTCTTTATTTGTGTTCAAATCAATGAAAGTGATTATTCTTATGTGGTGGTTTTTGTTTATATAAGTTGTAATGGGACGACTCGTACTTCCCAATTGAATCAGCTGCTTGACATTTGTGCGGTTATCCATCTTCACTATGTGCTCATTGGTGACTTTAACGTTACTCTTAATGCGGGGGGAAAAGATGGTGGGTTTCCTTGGAATGCTGCTCACGCCCTGAGCCTTCGTGATTTTGTTCAAAATCTGGGCCTGCATGACCCAGGGTTTCTTGGTGATCAGTTTACTTGGACAAATAAGCGGATGGGTACGACATGCGTTCGAGCTAGATTGGATAGAGCTCTATGCTCCCAGAAATGGGTGGATCTGTTCCCAGAAACCCTAGTAAATCATTTTACGGACCAGGGTTCTGACCATCGAGCTCTTCTTCTCTCTGACAAACTTTATGCCCGTAATAGCCGTCCCCTGTTTTGTTTTGACGCTCGATGGGCAGATAATCCGGAGGTGAGGGCTATGGTGCAATATGTCTGGCAGGAGGAGATCCAAGGCAATCCGATGTTTCGACTGTGGGAGCGCTTAAAGAAACTCCGTCATTTGCTGTATGACTGGAGCAGGGCTGGCACTACTAATTCTTTACGGAACATCCGAACCCTCCAAGCTGAAATTGATCGGATTAAATTAATCCACCCTATTGACTGGGAGGAGGTCCGGCGGCTGGAAAGTGAGTTAAGTAGGCAGTGGGAGGCGGAGGAAGTTTATTGGCAACAGAACTCTCGAGTTCACTGGTTGAAAAAAGGAGATAAGAATACGAATTATTTTCATA